ATATATCTATGTTTATGTGTATGTGTATGTAGGTTCAGATAAAGAAGAAAATGAACAACTTACTGAGCAGTTAGACAAAGAAAACGTAGCGCCAAGCAATTCGGATCAGAACACAGTGGCGACGGTCGACAATGAGATCCTCGAGATGCTTGGAGAAGATCCGCAAAAATCAAAAGCGCTAGATATTGTTTTACATGATTCTTTGAAACTGCGTTGGAATTACTGGATTACACACGGAATAGAACAGAAGTCCAAGGAAGAGCTGACGGTCAAATACGCTCGTTCGTCGGAATTCGACGCACCTAAACTAAACCCAGAAATTTCCGCCATACTCTTTGAGTCGGCAGTTAAAAGGGACAATTTTATGGTCGAGAATCAAAAGCTAGCAGGATCAGCTCTCACAGCAATCGGCTCGGCGTTGACATTGATTATGATTGAGGAAGAAGATATAGATAAGCTATTATTCGTACAGAGACTTAACGAAGCGGCTAAATTAATAATGGCAATCCATTTTAACGAAACCGAGTCGCGTAAAGCTTTCATTTACCCCGGAATTAATAAACAATTTAAGACGACCATTAAAGAACGAAAATCGGATACTTTTCTGTTTGGAGAAAACTTAGCAGACAAGATTAAAGAATCTAAAAGTATCGCAAGTCTAACACAGAACGTCAAAAATCAACAGTTTTCAAGAAGTCTGTCACAATATTCTAAGAAAAATTTAAACGCAAAGAGCCTGCAGGTGAAGAGGCCGTTCACCAATCGTGCAGGCTATCCCAACACTCAAGGCCACAACCGCTCTCGTCTGACCTTCAGGACGAAAGAACCATACAACTCGAGAGCACGAACACACCGGAGTTCCAGCAGGTCAACGAGGAAAACCAGATAAATGTATGTATCGCGGGTCGATTAAAAGTTCTCTTATCCGAATGGCAGAAAATTACGAATGATAGATTCGTATTAAACTGTGTGCAAGGTTACAAAATCAAATTCTCTTCCAAGATTTACCAAAATAAAGAACCAGTGGTAACGTTTAACTCTAAAACAGAGAGAGAGAACTGCAAAAAAGCCATTCTATCTTTATTGTCTAAGGGAGCGATTGCAATTTGTAAACCAGAGAGAAATCAATTTCTATCGTCGTATTTCTTAGTTAAAAAATCAGACGGATCACACCGCTTTATTCTCAATTTAAAGAAAGTAAACGAATTTATCGAAACTACCCATTTCAAGTTAGAAGATTTACGTACGGCGATAAAATTAATATTTCCGGGAGATTTTATGGCTTCAATCGACCTTGAGGATGCATATTATGTAGTACCGATACATAAAGACAGTCGAAAGTACTTGCGTTTTCAATTTCTCGACACAATGTTCGAATTTGTTTGCTTACCATTTGGACTTTGTACAGCCCCCTTTGTTTTTACAAAGCTATTGAAACCAGTTGCAAAAATTCTACGGAGTAGAGGCTTATCCTCAGTCATCTATTTAGATGACTTTCTATGCATAGGAAGCACCTTAGAAGAATGTAGAATTAACGTCTTTGAAACACGAGAATTGTTATCTCGATTAGGTTTCATAATAAATGATAGAAAGAGTCAACTTGTTCCATCAACGAGATGTAAATTCTTAGGTTTTGTCATCGATTCTGTTAAATATCATATAGAGCTAACAGAACAAAAAAGAACAAATTTACGTAACATGTTAACCAAATTTATGTACAAAAAAAGACTTTGTTTAATTAGTGATCTAGCACAATTAATTGGTAAACTAGTCGCAGCTTGTCCAGCCATAGAATACGGCTTATTATATACAAGTACTTTTAGAAAGAGAAAAACTACTGGCTCTTATTATCAACGATTATGATTATGATAAGACTATAATAATCTCCCAGCACCTTCTTTCGGAACTAGATTGGTGGAGAGCCAGTCTAAAAAATTCAATTAACTCGATTAAATCGGGTAATTTTCAAATGATAATTTACACTGATGCATCTACAACGGGCTGGGGAGCTGTGAATGGTAATGAGAGGATACATGGGTTTTGGAATGAATCTGAAAAAAAGGAAGCATATAAACTATTTAGAACTTCTGACGGTATATCTGGCCTTATGTAAATTAGCGATAGATGTTAGGAATTGTCAGATTCTTTAGAATAGACAATACCACAGCAAATATCTTACATTAACAAAATGGGAGGCGTTAGATATATGAAATATAATTCTCTAGCTCAAAAAATTTGGAAATGGGCCGAGGACAAGAATATTTTTTTATTGCGTCCTATATAGCTTCCAAAGACAATGTAGAGGCAGACACTCTATCACGATTAAAAAATAACGATGGAGAATGGGAACTAGCATCGTTTGCGTTTAAGGAAATAGTTACCAAGTTCGGCAGACCAGAAATAGATTTATTTGCTACGAATTTAAATAAAAAATGTAATAGATTCGCTTCCTGGTATCCGGAGCCCAATAGTGAACAAATTGATGCTTTTACTTTCTCGTGGTCCGACTTAAACTTTTACGCTTTTCCCCCATTCATCCTGATATTAAGGACTCTAGTCAAAATAAAGCAAGATAAAGCCTGTGGTATCGTAGTGGTGCCTGATTGGCCAAATCAGCCATGGTATCCTCTCTTTACTAGTCTATTAATATCTGACCCGATTTTGTTTAATGCACATCCTAATCTGCTTTTATCATCAAGCAGGTTGTCACAGCACCCCAGGGCACAACATCTCCGTTTAATTGCAGGGAGATTATCGGCAAAGCCTTTCTGAAAAAAGGTGTACCTCAAGAGTCATTAGAAATAATGATAGCATCGTTGGCAAATTCAACGATTAAACAATACGAATCATCTTTACGGCAGTGGAAAACATACTGTGAACGAAAAGACCTAAACCTTTTTGAACCAACGTGCGACAATGTGATACAGTCTTTAACGGAATGTTTTAGAACCGGTGCGTCATATGGCACATTAAATTCTCATAGGTCTGCGATCTCCTTAATCTCAGAAAATAAGATAGGGGAAGCTAGCTTAATCACTCGGTTCTTGAAGGGAGTTTTTAGATTAAAACCTGCACGTCCGAGGTATGCATTCACGTGGGATGTATCCATAGTACTTAGGCATTTAGAAACGCTTTCTCCTTTAAAAGATCTAAGTCTTAGAGTATTAACACAGAAGACTGCAATGTTATTAGCTTTATGTACAGCCCAGAGGGCACAAACGCTAACCAGTATTACTATTAATAATATTATTAAGTTACCAGGACGATTGAAAATTAGAGTTCCGGATATAATAAAAACGTCAGGACCTGGGAAGTTCCAGCCATTACTTATAATACTAGCCTTTATCGAAAAACCAGAACTATGTTTAATGCATTCAGTTATTAGATACCTAGAAGTTACAGCGAAGCTTAGAGGAAATATACAACAGCTCTTCATTACGACAAGAAAACCTTACAGAGCTATAAATACGCAGACCTTCAGTCAGTGGATCAAATCCGTTCTCCGAGAGAGCAAAATAGATACTTCTATTTTTTCGGCACACTCAACGCGACACGCTTCCACTTCAAAAGCCTTTTGTAAAGGTATAAATTTGTCGATAATTAGAAAAACGGCGGGATGGTCAGAGAATTCCCAGGTCTTCGCTAATTTTACAACCGTCCAATTACAGCCAATAATGATGTTTTTTCAAATACGGTCTTAACTGAATAAAAAAACTAAAAACTAAAAATGCTATATTAATAGAGATATAATTACAGATATATATATATTGGTTGAATTGTCTTCAGTATATAGTTTGCGTTATAAGTATATATATCCATATATTTTGTGTTGCCTTATGTTATACGCTTATAATTACTTCTATAATTAGAAAAAATTTTATTAATGATATAAATACGTATATATGTGTATGCAGGAATATATATGTAGATATATATATATATGTATGTGTTGTGTGTACATGTAGAGCTATGCCAATACTGTTCCTTAAAATTGCCATCTCTAAACAACTACATGTGTAATCTCGAGAACGAGGCTTGAAGTATAATTGTACGATCAAACGAACTTACCTGTAAGTGAAGTTCGATCGTGATTATACGAAAAACCTCGTTCGAAGAGATTACACCCCCCTCCCTAACAAGTTCCTTGTTTTTTCTACCCATATCCCTCTTTATAAAAGCAATTTTAAGATTACAAACTCTAAAAAATGAAGCAGTGATATCACGTGGCGCGCGGGACGGCGCAGCAGGGGCGCCGCCACCGGCGCACTTTTCTCACTCTAAATGTGTGGTTGATTAGTATAAAGAAAGGAAACTACATGTGTAATCTCTTCGAACGAGGCTTTTCGTATAATCACGATCGAACTTCACTTACAGGTAAGTTCGTTTGATCGTACAATTATCGTCTAGATATTCCCTATCATGATCTTTCGTCACCGTGCATCAAAATTGAATAACTCGAAGAAATTACAATAAAATAAATAACAGCGATTCGTCGATTATCTTCGGAAGATTGATTTATGTTTATTTGTGTGTGTGTGTGTGTGTGCACACTTCGCGAATCAAGCTCCGCAGAGGGTCGGTTGCATCTCGAGAATATCTCATCGTTTCTATATGCGATCGCATTCCGGCTCGCGCGTTTTATTTTGCCTTTTCTATTTAAATCAAGTTCCGCGCAATTTCTTCGTCATTTTGTTCTCCAGCTTGTCTGTGCGCGACGCGCGATACTTGGGAGTCTTTTTAGACTCGCGACCAACCTACGGTCGACGTCGGTCGATCCGAATCTTTCTCCGCGAGGATAATCTGCCGTTAAACGATCGTACGTCGGACGGGCTCCGCGCGATCCTAAGCTCGTACTTTATGCCGCGCGATGGTACGGTAAGTCAGGAGCGTAGCTTATCAGGAATCTGAGTCGCGCAGTGAGCGGCTATTTGTATTCATAAGTCCGCGGGAGGCCGGCGCTCGCTCCCTGGGCACAGTCCTGGGACCATTCCAGGCCGCACAAGGCCCACGGTGTTCCCCCGGGACGCTCGTCCGTCCAGCTCGTCCGTGGGCACCATTCGCGATGCGCAGTGAAGGAGACAGAGGAAGGAGGCGGAGGAGGGACAATAGAGGGCCACGTCATTCAGCCGAGAGGCGCCCTTCTTCGCGGACATCTCGGGACCCGTCGGCGTACATATGTATGTATGCACATTCGTTCGGTCCCGAGAGAGCTATACGTGCCGCGCGCGCACATCCGAGAATGTGACCAGTCATCGAGTTATTTAATTTTTCGAGGCACCCCCGCCGCGCGTGTTTGCTCAGCCCCGCTGTGAGCACAAATTACCTCGCGACCGAATCACCTCGGGCGAAATGCCCCACGGCCCCGTCCGTCCGCCCCCTCTCGTAACCCAGCGTCCGGCTGCCATCAGCGTCGATGACGCTTCTTATCCCCTCGATGATCTCCGAGACGGAAGTCTCCGCTGAGAAGGATGGCATGTTTCTCCGTGGCCACGTCGATGTGACAGACTTGAATTGTGCGAGCTGCGCGAATAAAAATCTTGAAGGCAGCTTTCGACGAATTCAATGAATATTGAGATTTCTGTTTTAGAGGGGAAGCTTTTATACGAAATTTATGAACCGCATCGGCATCTTCACTTCCGTGCGATGTTTAAATTGGAAAAAAATGTTTCTCGACGATCATAAATACTCGGGAGTTACCGATTGCATCGATCTTAACTGGCTTCATCAATGCGGGCGCGCAAGATGTCCGGAGAGTTTATTCGTAGCAATCGCGCGAGGACGTTGCTGCAACACCACCTGACCCGCTTACGTACGTAGGACACGGGACCAAAACGGACATGCCTCCCCCCGTGGCGTGGTCTAGGTGCGCATATATACGGTCAGTCCACCTCGCTATCTATATGCTAATCCATTGAGATGGTACCCGTAGATTACACCACGGAATTAGCCCAGAGACCCGGGTATCAGGGCCGCACAGACAGGCCGGGCTGTGTGTATCTATACGTACCTTTATCCCACCTTATACACGTAACTCGCGCCGTCGAACGCCGTCGTGCCGCCCCCCCCCTTTCGTCCCGCGCTTTACAAGCCCGCGTACATACACACGCTCACACCTGCGTAAAGATCGGACACGCGTGTACACACAGGTGCGTATTATACCTGGCGGAACCGCCATGGCTCCTCCGCCGTGGTTCGGTACAGGACCGGGATGACTCGGCACTTCCAGTTCGTTAGCCCGTGTTAATAACGTTAAAGAGGATGCGATAAACTCGTTAGGAGACGAAATCACGCAGGCGGCTAAGCTCGGCCTTCGTCGAGGTACTACAGCGAGGACTACAAGAGGGCCCACGCCAATCGCTTCTTCTCTCGCTTCACCGAATCGAACATTCGCAAAGTTTCACTTCTCGCGAATCAACGTAATAGCTGAATAAAGCTTTCTTTGCATTTCGGATTGATATCCATGACATTTGTAAAATTATTTAGAAGTTGTTTAACTTCGGTGAAAAAATATTGATGTTCAAAAGGAACGTGAAGCCTCATCAAATATTAGTTTTATATGAATAGTCATGTATCTCGATTTGAATATCATGTTTTGATATTCTTGTTGGCCACACAATATCGAATGTACATCTCTCCACGATGTAATCATACTCGGTTACATAACACCGGCGTAGATTAACAGGCGTTCGTCACGCCCAGTCATTTCGTGAAACGGTACTCTTTTCGAGAAGTTAATTTCACGACGGCTCTATCGCGCCAACGCATCGGCTATTAAGATTTCTTCCGGCCGGCAGCTTCCTAGCATACTTTACGTCAGCACTATCGGTCTAAGGCTCTTCGCAGGCATTTATCAGCGCATTTCGGTCTAACTGTTCATGATATTACACTTTATACTTGTTACAATCTCACGCAATTTTTTGCGTGCTGTTTGTATCATTTAAATGACATGGTATGTATTTTTTTTCGAGATTATATTTTAAGATACATAGTCGGCCTTGGCGATTATAACCGCGCTACCTTGTTCAGAAAGGAAGTGCTATGCCAATTATGGCGCTTTATTGCTGGAACCCCTCGAAACTGTGACATTGCCGGCAGGACAATCGAGCGACGACAATCGCACGGCGACAGCCGTGTGCTCGAGCACCGCGGTAAATTTATTAGCCGACGGGAATATGATCGCGCGACGCGTATTGCGGGATCGAGGTACACCGAGGAACACGGTGGGTACGTACGAATATAATCCTGTCAACGAAGAGCGGGGTGGAGGAGAAGAGGGTCGGCTGTGAGCGAGCGCGCGATGTCGATGCACCGTGTTTCCCATCCGGACCAAATCCGACGTGCGCCGCCCGCGAAAATACGAGACGCGGGTTATGAATCAAACGCTCTACGCCGCCGCGCGAGATAATAATCGTTCGTGAGCGCTAATTTCCCCGTAATCGTGTAAATCGTTCCACGCCGACTTGTCGAATCCCATTTGCGTATGCGCGACGCGCGTTTCGCCCACGAAAATTAATGCAGCTGTTATTGAGCCGGAATTTAGGAATATTAGTTGTAAATTTTCTAAAAAGTATGTTCAATTTTATGTTTATCGCATCGGATGTGATTTATCGATTTATAATTTTCACATTTTCATTCTACATTGGTGAACAATAATACCAATGCAAAGCGTTTCTCGATTCATTATAAAATATATTGTAAAATACTTGTTATTCACTTTGTTCTAATCAACTTATTTGAACGATCAATCGATTGAGACTGGCCGGAACGGGAGAATTAGCGATGCGATTAGCATGCGAGACTCGGTGTTCGGATCGCCGTGCCCGTTCAGTCGCAGCATCTCGGTCGTCGTATTTCGACGCGATTTCATTCGGCTCGCGACTGAACCTTGGATTATGATCCCCGACGATGGAAATGGCGTTAGGTAGGTGGGTACCCGAGATAGGTAGGCATTATGGTGGTCGTTGGGAGGCGTCGCCGAACCGAACGCTGAATCACCCAGCGAGAGTTTTCCTGTCAGCGGCAGGACGGGCACCGCCATCCGACGAAGCCCCGTGGAATTGCCTCGCACGGCCTCGAAATGAATGCGCGAACGCCCATTAGGGGAATAAATCAGACCAATGTTATCCGCAGGATCGCATAATCGATCTCGCGCGCTCGACTAATCCGAGCCTAATCGTTCCAACGGCGCTGCCGCGGCCAGAAAAGTTCCCTCTGAGGGGGCGGCAGGAGAGGGAGTCTCGTTAGAGAATGGATCGGAGGATTTCTCTGCAGCCGCAATAATAATGCGCCTAATGCTCCGATGCATCTCGTGTTGGTCTAGTGTGTCTCGGGCAGAGATTCGCGATTAATAAACTACGAACTTAACCTTTAAGCTCGCAGCCGAGGTAAAAGCGCGATGTTTCTATGTCGCATATTTCGTGTGCCGCGTTTACTTTGTTCAGAGTGCGAAGCATTAAGCATGACGAATCATCGTCACGCTCACGTCGTCGGTCGGGCGGTCGCATTAAATACACATCTCTCGTTTTAATCAGGATCGATCCTCTCCTTGCTCTCGGACCTTGCCGGCGCGAAGGCTGGACGAGCGTGCGAGGGGAGGGATGAATTGTAGGGTGTGCCGAGTCGCGAAAATGTTTGGTTAGCATTTGGCTTATTGGCCGGCGAATGTTCGTGCGCTGTTAGGCATGTATGGATGGCCCCCAGGTTATAATAAAGCTAATTCCGCGGAGCTCTCGAGGCAGCTCGTGCCGCAACATGTTTTGCCTCTCGTTCTACCACGCCCGCCGTGCCCCGCTTTACCCCTTCGTCGTCTCGCCGATATATCCGCCCCCGTCCACCTACGGTCTCTCGTAACATCGCGTCTCTCGCTCTCTCGCAGCGAGTACGCGCTCGCCCGTTCTCTTCGCTAGGGCAACCGAATATATTTATACGCCCCCTCGGAGGGCAGCGTACGTCCGCTTATTAAAACGTTTCCACCCTGAAGAGAACGAGTGCGCGCTCGCGCTCGCTATCCGCTTTACACCGCGTATTCCTTTTATTGTTCGAGTGAAACGGGGGAACGCGGGGGGGAAAGAGACAGAGTGCAGGAGGGCGCGAGTAAGCACGTGCATGCGTCTGCTGAGTAGTTGAGTACCTGCCGCTGGCCACATTCGCGGAATTAGACGCGCGAATGTGCACGGCTTAACTGCCGGGAGAGCGTGTTTTTGAGTCGGCGCTGATGCGCCACGGAGAGCGATAACAATGGGGGATATGAAGGGGGAGGGTGGGTAGGTCGGCCGGCTCGTTACCGTGGCTGCTGATGGCCCCTTTGTATCCATTTCTATGATACGCAGCCCCGGCGCTGGCTCGTGCTAGGATCACGTCCTAAGTGATTATGCGGCTTGTATGCGTCGCGTCGTTAGCTTTTTATCCGATTACGAATGTGATGTACGAGCGCCCATACATCTGCGTACATATATCCGCGCTATTAGGATGGAATATTCAGTTCCGCTGGGCTATCCGGGTTGCCGTTCGATACGTGAAAATAGTTTGATGTGTGAATTGTTAATATTCGTGACGAGCGCGAATTAACGCCGCTTTTTTTTCCGAAACAACGTTCCGCAGACACGTATCGCGGTCAGTTTATTCGCGATTATTTTTTCTTCGAGGTATGTTCTTATCCTTATGCTTACAACGTTTCGTGTTCTTGATAAAGATATTAAGAGACGGTTATGAAGGCGAATTAAAATCTTGATTCTGCCAAGTGCGTCAAGATCGCGATTGATCGGTTCAAGCGAACGACTTTAACAGGCCTGTTGCGTTAATTAATTCCCGCTGATCTCAATTAAAATATTAATTACCGCGGAACAATGACTTGCTGATGGGGAAAAGGGCCGGGGACCCGCTTCTCCCCGTCTTCGTTCATCGCTCAGCCGCCGCTTGCTCACCTCCGCTCGTCGTTCGTGATGGAGCCGGAGAAACCGCCATTGCGATGCTATTACGATTACCCGGGTCTTATAAGCTTATCTGATAACCACGCCATTATGGCCCATGGCGCGTTGTGACTGCGCCGTCGCTGACTGGTCCGTTTGTCTGATCGTTCGTGGAGACCTCGCGCCACGGAGAGGATGAGAGCATTTGCATATCTCCGGGTCCGAGATACGAGCGAACAAGTGTCCTCTGCCTCCCGGACGAATCTCATCGCGGATCGGTCCGGCCGTATCGCGCGATCGCTTAAAAATCAATCAGCGACTCGCGCACGAGCAGCGAAATCCTACGTGATTGCGAACACCCGTGACTCTCAATATCGAGATTGAAGGCTTTTCAATCTCGAGTATTGCTTTCGAGTCCCTCTTTGAAATCTCTTTGGCACTCGGTGAAATGTCGACGAATTCTCTCGGGTGCTCGTTGCCTGCATAATTCCGCCGGAATTTGCATATTAATTCCAAAATGTGCGAGAGAAGAATTTTTGAGACTCGGATTATTACATATTCCTATATACTTCATTAACAATCGGAAATCTTTATGTATTCTTTTGCCAGGTGCTCTTATGTATTTCACGCAAAAAAAAAGATTAAAAAATAGAAAATGTGCATTCTACTTTTACATACCGATTATTAATAAACGTAAGACAGTCGCGTTGTGAAAGGATTAAATTAAAAATTAATTCAACCGCGTCTGTTTACTGCCGCCGTTTTTTTTTTTTTGTTATCGCAAATACAATTGTTGCGTCGCCGATGAAGCATGGCCTCCGCGATGCATACATATAACAAAGTCCGTCCTATCGGCGTGCATCTGTGCATTCGCACGCGTACAGACGTGTTTGCGAGAGCACACGTAGCGCACGAAAGCTGGGAACGCACCTCGATGCACCACCTGACGCGACGGGGGGTCAGTGACTATCATCTCGATGCCTGATTCCGAAGAGACAGAATTTCCGGAAGAGACCCCCGATCGCCGGAATTGAAAAGCTTATCGCGCGGCGCGACGTGATCGTCAAGACTCCTCTTTTAACGAACGACGAGAGGGGGGAATTGGATTAATGTTGGAATGTCAGGCATACGCGCGTCTCGTCTCAACTCGACGCGCGTCCTTCGAATCGTGATTTCACTTAAGGACACGCGCGATGTTGTCGATGGATAAAGATATATCGTGGCCGGCTAATGATGACTCGGCCAAAGTGCAAACGCGCGCGCGGTCGACCCGTGGAAGTAATTTATGAAGAGTCACGATCGATTCGGGGTCGAGTGTCGATATGAGCACCTCGAACAACCGACGCGGCCGTGACGAGTGAAAATACAAACAGTTTAACAGGGATGAGTAGTCGTTTAGCGTTCCTGGGATCAGGAGAGAACCCTCTTCCCCCTCCCATCTCCGCCGCCACCCCCTTCGTCGCGTCATCCTACCGTACCGCGTGCATACCGTTGTAAGTATAACGTTGGAACGTTGCACCGGCGATCGGCGCCGTACACGAGCGCGATTAAACGACGCGCCGTGCTCGTTAAAGCGTTATTCATGATTTAAAGGATATTATCGGGGATTTATCGCGGCGCGCCAAGTATGAATCTGCGAAAACACATACAGATGAAGAATTACATAATCATCTGAAACGCGGATCCTTCGTTAAGAGCGGAATTTCGTAAGCGATTAGGAAGCGCCGTGCGCGATAAGAGTTCTATCGCGTATCTTAAGTGTACTTTCATGCTCCGTCACCTCGATAATCGCGCGATCAGGAATCATTCGATTTGCCATCGGGCATTGGAGGGGGGGGGGGGGACGAACGGTTTCCGAAATGGGACGTGTCTGTTCTTGAACGACGGGCGACAGCGGGAGTTGCGTAAGTGCGTTCGCGGCCCGGAGCTCAGCCTCCCAAGGCCTTGCGCCGGAGAATCAATTATTGGATCCGTATATCAATCTGATGGCCGAAGCGCGCGTCCCGCGCTCGTGGTCTCCCGCTGCGCTCACGCATTTTCTTCCTTCCTCGACCCCCGTCGTCCTTCTCCTCCGCAGAGCTTCTCGCCATCGTGCATGGTACAGCGAGAGTACGCTCTCCGGAGCGCAGCCAACCGCCATATACAGCGGACCGGTTTTCGCTGCGTGTCCCGTGCGCGCTCGCGTGACATAGCGCGTAATGTTGATTTTTCGACGGATCTAACCCTCTCTCTCTCTCTCTCTTCTTTTCTCCGCAGGGCGCCGACGAGGATGACAGCGCTTCCGTTGCCTCGGTAAGTTCATCCACCCACCGCAGATCGCGATTATTGCGCGCGCCAATCCGACGAGAGCGACGCTGCACGAGCATAATTTCTTCGCCGGATCGGACGTGTTGTGCCGCTGGCTCCTGATAAATGCAACGGCCGGATCGTGGCCGGGGATCTTAATTAAAATTCGCCCGCTCTCGATCGGACGGGTCGCGCGCTCTCGATCTTCCGCGTGCCGTCGATCGATCCCGGCTATTAATCGCACTTAATCGCTGCGAATGACGTTTTCCCGAAGCAACTGGATGGAAAATCACGTGAGTGGCTGGTCAGAGCGGCGCAGGGGGACTATCAGGCGCTGGCGAAGCTCGCAGGCGAGGAACCTCGTCTCACCAGATTCAAGGTAAGCTCAACTTTATCATTTCACTTTGTCCCGTGCAAAATATGCGCGTCATAAATCATCTCGCGAGCGTTAGCTCGCTCGAGAGACATCCAGGAACGAACCGTGCAGCGTGTAACGTTTTTCGACTGACGATGAAATATCGGCAAATTGCATCGCTCTACTTAATTTTGATGTGTGCGCGAATATTTCCTGAATTATTTTGCCCCTTTCTTTAGATAAGAGCGTATCCGCACTATCGTGCGGTTGAAATCTTAGTATTTATAGGCGAAAGAGTAAATGCGGCAATCTCGGAACATCTTGTATGAGGAATATATATGATTCGTAGCGGCGCCGTTCGCATGCTAAAATTTTCTAGACTCACGCGCCGTTTATCGGGCTTTTATCGCTCACATACACACGCGCGGCCGCGCAATGGATCTCATTGAATTACGGCTACGCCACCTCGGGTGATAATGACAAAGGTAGCGGGCGGGAGGTTCGGAAATATAATTACGGTGTGGCTTACCGTAGGCCTGGGGATCAGGCTGTTATTACACGCACGGCAGAACTTAACACCTGCGGCGTTGTAAATTCGCCGTTTTCGCGCGCCGCCATTGACAGGTCAATAAATCTAAGAGCCCCCGTGGCAATCAGGCGGCCGTTGTATACTGCGCTGGCGATATGTGGAGCGGATCAGGAGTGGCTGATGGTAGCGGGTTAAGGGCTATTCACACCACTTGTATCGATTATAAATCGTCGCCTGTCAGACGCTCGATCGCCCCGAATGCAACAAAGTTGCTCCTTTAGCGGTGATATTGTTGACGCAGGCTTGTCCAAGAATATAAAGTATACATTGTAGTTTACATTGGTGATAATTAATCGCGAAATTACGATGAGAAAAGTAACCGAATAATGTTTTCAATAACAGTTCAATCGTGTACCGATCAATTTTATTTTATCTCAACAATTCTACATTAAAACGTGCTGCACAATGTCTTTTCTGTTATCACATGTTGTTTCACGTCTGCACGGTTTGAAACAACCTTAACGCGTGCGCGCGCGAGCGGATAGACGAGGAGGAAGGGGCGGACGAGAGGGTGAAGTGATCAAAAGGTGGGGACGTTGCACGGTGGTTGGAGATGGTCGGCGAAAGGGGTAGAGGCGGCTCGACCGCACAGGGGCTGCGTGCTGAATTCATTCCGCCGGACAAGGTTGCCCCACACCCACCACCGCCCGGCCACGTCGGCCTCATCCCTTGGGATAAATTGGCCGAACCCGCGTGTTTGCGGATAACATCGCCGCGATATACGCTTGCCTATGGCCGCTATAGCCATAGCGAACCTAACCGTCCGCGGTGCCTTTTTTGCGACGTGTCTCGGACTCGCGGAAATTGGCAATGAACCGTTCTGTCGGCGTTTGTTTTTCCGGCGGTTGTTGTTTTTTTTTTTTTGTTTTCATCCGCGATATATTCTCCACGAAGCACGCGCGATAAACTGGCCGAATGGAGCAATTTACGATACTTGGAAAGCGGGGGATAAAAAACACAACAAACTCGAGCGTCGGTAATTTTTTCGAGAGATCTGCGGCTCGCGATTAACATAAAAGCGAATGTTCGTGGCAAATTGCCGCGTTGGTCGTGTAAATTTTCATGCACCGTAGATATATTGCGCGTATCGAGTGGATATTGTCCAAGACCGATTGTTCCTGGCAGAGAGCCTTCGACACGTAGATATATAATAATCTATCACCGATGAATATGCAACAGTTTGGGCTGGAGAGGGCGTGATGCGATAGGGTGCTGGAGAGCGGGTGAAGTAAGGGGGTGTCGCTGTCGAGAGGGAAGGGGATCGTCAGTAGGCATGCCAATTACTCTCCCGGTAATTAAATCAACACCGGAGCTAATCAACGTAACCCCCGGCATGTCTCCATTCCTCATGGAGCCTTTATCGGAATAAATAAATCGGACGATTATTCGATATTCGACTAACGATATCGCTCGCGAGAGTCTTATCGGTGTAGCGAATTAATAGTATAAAGTGTATGTAATCTTGAAGAGAAAACTTGAAAAGGACTTTTAACTCTTTAAATAGAAACGTATTTTTATGAATGTCGAGAAAATTTCAGAGGAGCGTGAATTTTATATTCTATATATTCTTTAATTTAAAAGAAAACAAATAATTAGATATTTTGATTTGAATATTTAACAGCGTATGTATAATTTTAAAGAGAAAATTTAAACAAGATTTTGGTGTAAAAAAAGAACTTGTTTTTATGAATATCGAAGGAGTTTTAGGAGGACAAATTTTTTAAATATTTTCCTTAATAAAGGAAAACAGTAATTAGATACTTTTATTCGGCGCCTTGCATCTTTTATTACCGTGCCATCTGTGACTACTTGATGGCAGCCACAGCATGTATTTCCTCTTTCTTTTCTTTTTTTATTCGCCCGTATAGAGGCCCGTTCACACACACGCGGTCTACGTGATTCGTGCTCGAACATCGTCGACAACCATTGTATTCTGTGGGTCAGGTGTACGTCGCCGTCATCGGGGCGCTGTGTGTGCCCATTATACTTTATTAACGGACGCGTCTGGCATCGCGATAGATTCGCTTCTGTGAGTCGCGCGCGCGCGTTCCTCGAAAATGCAGGACGGGCGGTGCATCGGTTTCAACGTGACACGCGGCTAGCCTGTGTTCGATCAGAGATCTCATTATGCTCGCTTCCATGAACTCGCTTCTACGCGCCGACAGCTGCAACTGTCACCGATCGCGCGTAAATGCTTTATCTTGCTCGCATCCTTAGAAATTGATCCAAAAAATTCTCAGGCATCTACAATGATCTTAATACAATTAAAAAAAAGTATGTTTAATTAAGAATTGATGGTTATATTTATAAAACATTACGAATTATTAATAGTGTGTTCGCGAAGAGGACACTGCTGTAATAATTGAGTTCTGCGTCGTTCACGAATAAAAGCTGTTAGCGAGGATCGCCGGCAACGTTATATAGTGGCCGGTGTTTGCAGGTTTGGCCTCCGTGTATTTATCTCGTGGTATCTCCCGGTTTAATAACGCCAGGCAATCAGGAGGCATACTCCGTCCGTCCGTTCCGCGCATTCGTACGGGGCCTAACGTCGAGCCCTTCGCTCGTCTCGCCGTGCCGATAAATAATAACCATTTGTATCGGATTCTAATTACTCGCTCTAAGCAAACAAATAAACGGCGGGAGATGAGACGTGCCGTGAGAGAGGAGGTGGGTTTAATGTTATGGTGGCTGCGGGCTGATTTAAGGAGTGTGGGACCGCCCACCTCGAAGATGTATCTTCGGCCCGAGTATCGGTCCACCTGTTATGAGTGTTTCAACGCCACTGTGCGCGCTTCATTTTTTTTCCTTCCGTTCTTTTTTCTTTTTTTTTCGCCACTCTGGTATATCCTCATCGGCGCGTCGGTCGAGAAAAATTTCGGTACCGCACGGAGCCGTGTCGAGTGCGTCGGGAGCGACGTCGATGCGACAGCTCGAACGATCACGGCGGCCGCGCAATAATTCGCGCGTACGTGTCGAGCCCGCCGAGCGAATTACTCTGTGCGAAGTCCGTCCATTCGCGGCCGATAAATTACGAATATCGCCCTGAGGACTGCTCTTTAAGTAGCATGTATCCTTTCGTCGGGGCAGCGTGGCAAACGTGGGAAGGAATTCGCTTTTAGAGGCGACTCCACGAGGGGCGATCCTTTCTCGCGATGACGTCCATGATCGATAAGAGGCAGCGCGAGAGGAGAAACGCGTTTTCGCTTAAAAGGTCCTCAAAAAAGGCCGACGGTAGTTCGTTACCGGTGGGCTATTAGCGGGCGTAACGCACGTCGTAGGAGCGTCGAAGGACTAAGTAAACCCAGGCTAACAAGGAGGCGTATCCACCGGCCACGAATGATCTACCGATCCGAAGTTGGCATTATTCCGTTCTCTCTCTCTCTCTC